TAATTTTGGTTGAGGAAAGAGGCTCATCATAGAGCTAACAAATAAATAAATTCAATCAAAATAAATATTTGTTCTGATAAAAAATAGAACATGTGTAAGATTCGGAATTTATGAAATGAAAAATTCCTTCGTGCAACCTGGATTTTTCGCCGCTCGGAAGAACTTACGTGGAACTCTCGTCTGTAAGCAGAACGTCATCGGCTGCTTTCTCCAGCAGATAACGTCACTTTTTAACAGAAGTTCGACGTTTTCCCGTGTACGCCGTCCACCAAAGAGACCAGAGGACTTAATGCCTGGTTTGTGAAACCCGCAAAAGACCAAGAAGGAGAGGATGGGACGCTTAACATGGGTAATGGCGATAGTGGGGCTCTTGGCCGCCGCCGCCGATGGAATAATGTTCCATTTGCAGCCCAACACACAAAAATGCCTCCGGGAAGAAATTCATAAGGATGTCCTCGTCTCTGGAGAATACGAAATCCAGGAGACACCTGGGCAGAAAGTCGATATTCAGGTAAGTTATGCTGACAGGTGGGTGGTGGGGGAAGGGAAACAGATTGTGGGGTTCGACTCATTTTTTCCCTCACACTTTCCTTTCCGCCTATCGGTTTCTTTTGCTAAGTCCTATTTTCGCAGTGGGAAATGAGATATACTTATCATCTAAATGGAAATGTAAGTTTGTTTGGGAGATGTATTGGGATTTTAATTTTGACTGAATTTTTCTGTACCCCAAGCTACTATAAGATTTGACAACAAATAGAGAGGAGGAATTTTTTTAGTAATGTTAAAGTGCATGACAGCCACTGATTTCACATTCAAGATGCATGTGTTCCTGCATTTTTTATGTCTCTTTTTACATAAATAAACCATTAGTTTCCATATTGGCTTTTGGGGGTATGAAATGCGCTTTAACATTTTGGTTAAAATTTAGGTATATGTCAACAAGAGCGATGCACCTGCATATCATGCAAACTCAAAAATCATAACCTAACCTTTCCTACTTTTTATTTATTCCCTAGGTGGGGGCGCAAGACCCCTGTACCCTCCTTGGTAATTGTTACCAGGAGCAACTTACCATCCAGAAACAATAATTGTTACTGATAGCAACAGCCCCTCCCAGTGGCGAAATAAAAAAAAAGATTGATGTTTTTCTGCAGGAGTTCCAATTATTTCATTGAATCATGGCCTTCTTTCTTCTGTGAATGAAACGTTGAGGAGATCAAGTACCATTTCTCCATCGACGATCTTGATTTGATAGTCCTGATAGCAGGGGAGGGCATGAAGTATATCAGGGAAATTACGGGGTAAAACAGGCTTAAATAAGAGGATTTGAGAACAAAAATATGTAAAACTAGTACAAAAAAATTTTTAGATCAGCCAGTGAAACTGTACGGACATACCCGCCATCTTTGAAATTCTACACCCAGACACCTTAAAATTCAAAAACTTTACAGGAACCCAACCCACCTTTCAGCAAAATCTACGGGAATTCACACGTTCCAAACCCCCCAAAAAACATACTGACCAATAATGCAGTCCAATCTAATCATTTAAGTCGCCGTCACTAGGCATGCCCACTGCCCGAAGGTAGGGTTGATAGGTGGCTCTGCCCCCCAACATTTTCTTTACCTCAAGAAAATGTACAGCAAGATGTGTTCACACTGTAAAATAATAAATCATGAAATGACTAGCTCCGAAGTGTCAAACCTGGTGGTTGGCGAATGAAAGTGTGCAATGCATGATGCGCAGATTATTCTAAATAAGTTTATAGATAAATTTTAAAACAAGTAAATGAAGTATGATAACATTAATAAAAGACTTTAAAAGCATAAATGTGTAACAGCAGACAGTGATAATTAACCAACTATCTTTTGAAAAGCGCATAGTGACACATGAACTACTGACATCGCAGTACTGAGTTAAGCAGTCAGTGTTATTCCTGGCGTAGTAAACAAGATGTTATGCAAGGTATATTTCTTCATTTAGCAGTGACTGAGGCCGATGCAGCTTAAACTATGTTGTATCCTATTCTTTTTCTTCTGCTCTATAAGATGGTGTCGTCCATTTCCCTCTATCTATGTGCATTGCTATAAGTAACTTTTACCCGAGAAACTAACTCCCAAAATAATGGTATCATGTGAACCCAAACACCCAACCCAACCTTTCCTACCTTCTCTTTATTTCCTAGACAGAGGTCAAGTCCTCTTGTATCCCCCTTTTATTTGTACTTCATGCCAACCTATAGAAAGTGGCCATTAAGAACTCTGGCTGTGTGAGGATGTTGTGGATTCAGTCTCTGAGGGGTGATATGCAGGAGACATTTTCATCATTTACTTGTAAATATGAGGCTGCTGCAGCTTAAGATATATTATTGCTTATTCTATTTGTTATGCTCTATAAGATGGCGTTGTCTATTTCCCTCATCTCCGCATGTTGCTCTCGGTAACCTATACCTCCCCCTTTATTAGCACTTTGTGCCAACTGACACAAAATTTTGTTATATAAAATATTTGTGACTCATACTTCAGTATGGAGGGTACGGACAAGCTGTAGCGAGGAAAGATTATAAAAAAACGGACTTATAGAAAACATAACATTGAGAACACTCTTCAACATTCAAAGTTGTCATGCCCACTGCCAGAGGCTAAGATAGGTAATTGATTACAGTATGCACGGGAAACTCAGAAGCACAGAGGGGGCATTCACTGTGGGCAGCACTTTCCGCCCATTTGTGCCTCTACAAGATTATCATCTTCAATTTGCCCCAGCTTAGTGCATCCATAGAGTATGCCCTCATACCCTCTACTGATTGCATATTTCCCTAGCCTGTGGCTGTGCCTCTCCTAAGTCAGTATAGTCCTTTAGTATACTAACTTATTTTACAATTTGATAATCTAAAATAATTGATTTAGATAGCACTTACCCATCTGCATAGCACACCTTGTGGACAGTGATTGTGGCTATACACAAGTTTTTACTGTTTAAAAAGCCAGTTAATATCCATCTCATATAATCTGGTTTGATAGAACTTGACTGGTACCTTATTTGATAACAACTCGCTAGGATGCCACATAAGTATATATACCTTGGCAAAATCAGTACAGCCTTGTGCAAAATTTTGTGTTACATTTGCACCTGAATTATTTGGCAAGAAACTCCTTACATAGATGTTGATGTAAGGCTCATTTTCTTGGTTCTTGTCTAATCTAGATATAATTCTTGCCAAAAGGTGGGTCTTTTTTCATACAGTCATACATCTCTTATAACAAGTAAATCAATGAAAAGTTTATCTCTTTTGGGCAAATATTGGAACAGCTCCTATCATGTACCATTTATATAAGAGAAATTTTCTTTATTTTCAGTAGTAATTGAAATTTCATTAATTATGACATGCAAAAAAGAATTCAGTTCATGAAAATTGTAATATTTATAATTTAAAGATGCTTAAATATATCTTGTGTTAAATTATACCACTCACTATGTAGTGTTATCCTATTATTACATGGCTATCTGACCCTCATCCCTGGACAACAACTTATTAAATTATTCATAATGGTTTGTTTGGCAAATTTGTTTCCAATCTGAGTGCAAGTTAAAAGAAGTAGATGATTTTTTATATTGAATTTTTAATAGAAAGTTTTTCTTTCTCTTCATTGTCAAGTTTCATTTTTTTTTTTTTTTTTTAAGGGTATCAGTGGTTTCCAAAATCCTTGTGATTTTGTCATTGTTAGATGTTCTTATCATTTGGTATAAATGCCTCCAACCTGCAGGGCATCCAAAATAGCATGTGGTTATTTGTGATGTTCCTTTTGATAAGGAAAGAACTTCTTGAATTTACCTTAATTGACCAGTTTTCTGTTATTAATATTTGGAAATGCTGTAAAGCAAAAATGTTTTTCACAACTTCATAAATCTTTTATATGTAAACAATATTATTAAACTAAAATCACATTAGATATAGAAGTGTTTATATGTCATTGCACAGTGTCGACTGCAGTGTCACTCATCGCTGCAGTCTGTTACTTTCTGGATATTGTTATTTACACATAAACAGATAGATATATTGTGTGAATTTTTAGATCAAGAAAATTTTATATGAAAAATGTTTTAGAGAAACATTTGAACAGTTTGGTCAGTGCTTACGTCAGTTTGATATTAAACCAATATCTCTTTACTTCTAGGTCACAGACTCTAAGGGTCATCACCTATACATAAAGGAAGAAGCTGACAGTGGGAAGTTTATCTTCAACACAGAAGACTATGATGTGTACGATGTGTGCTTCATCTCAAGAGTTCCTGCAAGTAAGGACAAATTTACCCTTGAGTTTTGAAAATGTCTGATTACTATTACCTTCCTGCATGTTCAGTAGTAAATCATAAGTTATTTACAAGTCCTAGCACTGTATGTGTATGACTGTACATGTGTGACTGAGTGAGTAAGTGCAACGATATGAATGAATGTTTGAGAGTTTGAGTGAGTGAGTGTATAAGTGTGCATGAGTGAGTGTGAGTGTTTGTAGTTGTATATGTGAGAGATTGATAGGTAGATAGTGTGTGTTTACATATGCATGTGTAAGAGTGAAGAGAGAGTATCTATGCACAAGTGCATTTGTGCATGTGCGACTGTTACTTATATATTTGCAAAGACAAATAGAAAATATAGGCATTTGTATATAAAGTAAATAAATTTTTTTAAAGTATTTTTAATTCTGTTATTTATTGATGAGTGTTCTGTATCTTCTTACAGCTCAGAGAGGAATCCAGCAGGAAGTTACTCTCAACACTAAACATGGTGTGGAAGCCAAGACCTATGAAGCGGTGAGTTTCACCTTATCTCTTTGGGAAATACTACCTGATATACAAATGGGGCTGGTATCTGGATATAGAATTTGGTTTTGGCCGTTTTGTTCTTTCTTTGTTCTTATTTATATATTTTACTTAATTATTTTTAGTCACCTGTTTTAATTCCTTTTAATTTATTTTGTACAGAGAAACTTTATGAAACTGCATTCATGAATGCTTAAGCACCTAGAGTTTAATGTATATATTGTAGAACAAAACATAAAATACACATTTTTTTTTGTGACTGTGCAAGCTTCAAGATCTAAGGGTGCCAGTATATATGCAGAAATTGTTTGTTGCAGTCATTATTTATGATAGATAAATGATAAGTTGAACAGCAGTTCACTTTTTTATGAATGCTGTTAAGAAAAATATTAATGATGAAATTGAGTACTCTTTATATAATATATCCAAGCTACAGTGACTTAATAATTGATTTATTTCCCTCTTCTCTTTCTCTTTTTTTCTTCCTGTTGACCTAATCTACAGCAGAGGGTTGTAAGTCAAGTCTTACTCATGGCCAGTAAAGAGTGCCTTGTTATGCTAACACCATTAGCACTTGAAATATAACTTTTTTTTAAAGTGAGCTTGATTTTGGAAAGGCTCTGAAGCTATCCATTGTTGAACTCGATTTGTTCAGTCAAGGTGACTTCAGGACCAAGAACAAAATCAGGCACTCTGATAACAAACACTTCTCTAGAAATCTTGTAGTAAAAGTGTGCGAAAAGGGAGTTGTCACCCTACTAAATTTTAAATGCCCAAAAGTGGTTATGCAGAATGTTTTTGTGGGTGGTTTGATTTAACAAGGGGAGAATAAAATTAATAAACTTCATTTTACTTATATACATATATACATATATATATTTATATGCCTGTGGGAACCATGTGCGTGCCTGTGCACCCCTGTGTGTACTGTGTGCCTGTGCGTACCTGTGTATGCATGCATGTGCATGCACCGCAAATATAATATATAATATATATATATATATATAATATATATAATATATATATATAATATATAACATATAATTATAATAATATATATATAATATATTAAATATATACATATATAATATTATATACACATATATATACATATATATATGTAATATATTATATACACATACATATATACATATATAAATATATATACACACACATAATATACATATATTATATTACAATTATTATACTAATATATATATATAATATATATTAATATATTATATTAATACATATTATATACATATAGTAATAATATATATAGTAACAAATATAGGTACATACATATATATGTATATACACACACATATATATAGTAATACATACATATATATCTATACATATTTTAATATATATAAGTGATTGTACAATATCATATTATTTACATATGAGTAGTGAATTACATTATACGTGAGAGAGGTAGCATGTTTGAATATACCTATAGCCCTAGTCACCAGGTCACGACAACACCATATATTAGATAAATATAATGAACTGCAATAAGTATAACATGCTATATATTACATATGCATACCTATGGATATAGCATAATATGTAATATGTATATAATCATACCATACATAATTGAGCATACATAACATATGATTATTACAGTACATACATACATACAATACATATTATATATATCATACATATACATTATGATATCATAACAGTTATGACATAGTATATACATAGATTATAGTATACATATATAATATACATATTATATTATACATATATATATATATAATACTCATACATTACATTATATGGTAGTATATAAGTAATTCATATCATATTAACATCATTATTTACATATAGGTATTATCAGTATATTAGCATACTATATGAGTTCATATTACATACATATATATTATGATACATATATACATATAGTATATACATATACTAACATATTACTATCTTGCATATATATAGGTATCATAATACAGTATTATATATATATATATGATATTATATTAGTAAATATATATATAAAATATATATATATATATAATATTACGTATTATGTATACTATATGTATAGTATAATATATATATTATATATACCCTATACTATTTATACGTATATATAATAATGTACTGTATGTGTGTGTTGTATATATATATGTGTTATATCTATGTATATATATATTATATCATTATGTAATATATATGTAGATATATGTATATATATTTAAATTGTATATAATGTATATATTGTTATAGTACGTATATATATCATATATATCATAATTATAATATATATATATTAATTGTACTAGATAATATTTATATATATAACTATATTATATATATATATATATATGATATATTATATATATGTTAAATGGAAGTATACTATGTATATATATTATATATATTAAGATAATATGTATATCGTATACTATATACTGTAATAGTATACATAATATACATATATAATTATGTTATATACAATAATATAAAATATACAATATACATATATTGACTATAGTATATATATATGTATAATATGTTATATATATATGTGATGATATATATAGTATATGGTAGTGTTAGTAGAATAGTACTATGTATATATACTAATGTAACGTATATATATATATATATATATAATATATATGTATATAAGTATGTATAATATTATAGTTATAAGTGCTAAAGGTAGTCATATATATATGTAGTATGATAGTATTATATATGTAGAGATAAATATGTATATAATGATTAATGTATAATGTAATAGTATATTATATATGTATAGTATGATTTAAAATATATAAATTAATGATATGTATATATATATATAATCATGTACTATAGTACAGTGTATAGTATGGTATATATATGTATATAATATATAGATGTATAATCTATATACTATCTTATACTATATATCTTTAATATATGTGTGTTGTATGATATTATATAATAGTATAGTAGTGTATTATATGTATATTAATTTATGTATAATATAGTTAAATTATATATATAGTTAGTATAGTATATTATATAGTAGTGATATAATTATATATGTTATTGTGTGTGTGTTGGTGTTGGTGTATGTGTGTGTGTGTATAATATATGTAATATATGTAGTACTATGTGTATAATATATATATTATTTAATATTCTTATAATACAGATATATCATAATACATTATAGTATATCATCGTATACATATATTATAATTCCACCATATATTATCATATATACTAATACATTATTAATCATAGTATAGTACATATATGAACATATATATACAGTAGATATACATATGATATATACATAATAATACATATAAAAATAGTATTATATAAGTACACTACAATCATACACATAAAAACATTATATAACAGACAGATATACCATATTACACTATATATATACTATATATACTAATATATACATATATATCATATATATATACATATATTATATACATATATATAGCATGATATAAAACATATATACATATATATATCGATATATATATATATATCATAATATTATATTATATACATATATATATAAGTGTATTGTATAGCATATAGAATGGTATAGTTTATATATGGTATATAATGGTATATATATATATGTATATATAGTAGTGTAGTATATGTATAGTATATGTATGATCATATTCATAGTATATATATATAATATATATATCTACATATTGTAATAGATATATGTCTGTATATATATGTCTTATATATGTCTGATATAGGTGTATGTAGACGTATGTAATAATAGTAATCTATTATTATATAGTCATAATATATATGATAATGTTTAGTATATTAGTAATATGTATAATATATAAAGTATATATATATATTGTATATAATAGTGTATATTATGTATGTAGTGTATATGTATTTATATATACTATATTATAGTATACTGTATGATAGTGTATATATACATATATTATGTATGTATGTTATGGTGTATATTATGACTAGTATGTATATATTATGTATGATGTGGCATGTATATATACCTAGTATAGATATATATATAGTATATATTAGATATATATGATATGTATATAGTATTGGTGTGGTATATATATATAGTAACATATAGAGGATTATATAATATATTATATATATTTATATATTATACATATATATATATAGCATATACATATATACAACATACATATATAATGTATATATATATATGTAATAGTGTATATAAATGTATATATACTATAACTATATACTATATACTATAGCTATAATATACCATATGTATATGGTATATGTTAGTAGCGTATAATGCATGTGTGTATACTATATTATACATATATAAATCAACATATATAATATACTATTTATATATCATAATATAATATATACATATATATTATATATATGTATATATGTATGCTAAATGTATGTATGTATGTAATGTGTGTATATACTATATATATATATATATACTAGTATAATATAATATATAATAATATTATATATATTAATCTGTGGTGTGTGTGTGTATGTGGTATGTGTGTGTGGTGTGTGTGTGTGTGTGTGTGTGGTGTGTGTGTGTGGTGTGTGTGTGTGTGTAGTGTTGTGTGTGTGTGTGGTGTGTGTGTGTGTGTCTCTATACTCATATTATATAGTATATTATTACTATATATATATATAATTATATATACTAACATACATATATATAGCATATGTATACTATATATTATATGTATAACTATATAATATAGTATATACATAATAAAGGACATATATGCTATACATAACTATATACTATATTATACATTAGATCTTACATACAATAGTATAATAGTATACATACAATATATCATAGTATACATACATATATATATACAGTACATATATATTATAACATACATACATATAGTATAATATAATATATATACTGTAGATGATATATATAACGATATATAGTACATACAGTATATATGTATCTATAGTATGATATACTATCGTATATAATGTATTATATATGTATGATACTATATCTGTATTGTATATATATATATATATTTAGTATATATATATATATTATATATATGTATATGTATATAATTAGTACGTATATATATGTATATAGTGTATATATAATTTCGTATGTTACTATTATATGTATATATATACTATGTGTGATATATGTAGTATTATATCTATCGTATAGATATATGTTGTATCATATAAGGTGTTATATATATATATAGTGTATATATACTACATATATATGTATATATAATGTATATATATTATATTAGTACTGATATAATATATATAAATATGTATAAGTATTATGTGATATATAATATATCTAATTTATATATATATCTATTATATTATATGTTATGTATATTATTATAGTATATATGTATTAATATATGTGTACGGTATATATACTACTTTAATATATAATATATCATACTATATATATATATATAATATTATATATGAGTTATTCGTATATATTGTATATGTAAATAGTATAATGTATAGTATTATATATATATATTAATTTATAAATATATGTATAATATATATGTTATCATTATATAATAAATATATATAATATATCATATATATATAACATATGTGTGTTGTGTATATACATATGTGGTATATATATATAGATATATAAATATATATATATATAATACTATGATAGTATGTATATATATGTATAATACTATCTATAGATAAAATGTTATATAATATAGTATATGATAAATGTATATATAATATATATACATATGTATATATACACGTAGCATATATATATATCTATATATTCTATATGATAATACTATATAACTATCTATATAGTATATAATACATATATAATACATATATACATATATCTATGATAAATGTATATATATAATAGTATATGTATAGAGTTATAGTAAGTACTAATAACTAATAATAAGTATATAAATGGTATAAATAATAAATGGTATATATATATACTATTAAATATATAATATATGAATATAATTGTTATAATATATATTAGATATTTATATGATATAATAGTATAAATAAGGTATAAAGTATACTAATGTATATGTATAATATATATATATGTAATATATATATGTATATATATATTATATATAAGTAATAATATAAAAGTATATAATTATAACAAATATAATTAATAAAATAATATATAACATAAATGTATAGTAATATAGAGTATAAAATAAAATATATAATAATAGTATAATAATAAAGTATAATTTAATGAGGTAATAATATATATTAATAATAAGATAGATATACTATAAATATATATATTAACTAATAATTATATAATATAATAGTAAATATATAAATATAAAATGATATAAAAAAATATATACCCGCCCACCCCCACAAAAAATATATAAAATATATGTGGGAAAATAATTCGAACAATATAATATCTATACTACTATAATATAAATATTATTAAATATAATATAAATAATACATATATAAATATAATATAAAAAAATAATAAATAGTAATTAAAATTATATATAATATATAATATATGTACATAAATGTTATAATAAATATATATATTGTGTAATATACATATATATGTATGTATATGTGTATGTATATAAATATATGTATTATATGTATAATGTTTGCTATCTTTTCCAGTGGATAGAGTAGTGCAACAACTGACATATTTGGTTTTATTGCAAGGCTCTCTGAAGATTATTAACTAGAGTTTGCTTTTCTTATCACCTTGCCTGACACTAACATTGGATGTAGATTGTGCACTAACACTTAATATAAACTTCTTTAAGGAAAAGAATGGGGAAAAAAGAATTTTAATTTAGTTTTTGTGAAGGTGTGTCTCAGTGAATGTTACTTCTTGGGTGAGTGTACATTTGTGGGTTTGGGTCCCCATGCATGTGCAAGCACGCAAATGCATGTGTTTGCTTGTGCATGTGAGTGAGTGAGGTTATTTATATTATTTGTGAGTGTGAGTTTGGGAGTGAATAAATATTTGTTTTAGGAAACATGAGGTGTTAAAAAGGTGATTGAAATACTAATACCCATTTTATATATTGGTTCATATCTTGTATAGGAATTGATGGAAATTCTTTGTCTTGAGTGAGTGAGCTCCTAAAATCCAAGAAGACATTTCTGTAATAGACAGGTCCTCATGATTGCAAGTAATACTTTTGTCTACCTTGTTTCTTCTTTTTTAATGCTTTAATTCAGATTTTTTTTCCATGGCTAAATCTGTCAAGGCTTTTTCTTCTTTTATATTGTAAATGCTCTTTTATTATCATCTGCATATTTTTTATTATGCATTTCTTCTTTCTTCAATTGTATCCCATCATGGGAGCTGTTTTGGATCTACATAACTTTCAATCTTTCCTTTCCATTATATAGCTTAAAAAGAAAGGAAAAAAATCCCAGATATCCAGTGTATTGTATCTTGTTGCTTTTAATGTTTTCTTCATGTTGATTCAATAAGAAAACAAGTTTTATGTACAACCAGAGTATGTCTTGTATATTGTTGTATAGTGTCTCTTCTCCTCCGACCACCTCCAGTAAACACCCACAGAGATTTCCCATACCTTGGCTTTTTGGCAATTATGATCTTGAAGTATTGCCCTTGAAGTATTGACTCTAGTAAAACTGTTTGCTGTTTTACTAATAATGTGTTTAGTTGGTATTCAGGTATGAGGCTGTTGCAGTAGATAGGTGGTTTTCTTTTCTTATTATTTCTTCTATATTGATTGTTTTCATAATGGATGTCAAATAATTTTTCATACATTGCTTGGGGATGTAAAGGGTTATTGTGCTATTACTTCTAATTAAAAGCAGGTGAAAGATTTATATTAATCAGCATTCCATGAATTACTAAGCTTTCTTTTACTCTGTATTGTTATTCAACCATTAGAAAATGAAAATCAAAACTATAGCTTTCTTTGTGTCTTCTAAAAGCTGGGTGAAGCAGCCAAGTTAAAGCCCTTGGAGATTGAGTTGAAGCGTCTGGAGGACCTCAGCGAGAGCATTGTCCATGACTTCTCCTACATGAGGCAGCGCGAAGAAGAAATGCGAGACACAAATGGTAAGAGGCAAGACCTTTTATGGTAATTTTTACTTAAAAAAAGATTTAAAAAAAGAATATGTGCATGTAATTATGTGCTTATTTATCATCATATATATTTAGCAGAAATTGAAATACTTAGGTTATCCTTGCTCATCTATTTTGTTGGTGATATGAAAACTTTTTTCTAACAGTGTAATTGTTTATTTTTAGACAAGTAAATCAGTGGTTCTTAACCTCTTTGCTACCATGCCGCCTTAAGGAATTTCTACTTCCCTTCATGCCCCCCATACATATCAATCTATCTAACATTCCCTCTCATATTTCAAGAAAATGAAAAATTGTTGTTAGTCTTTTATTGAATATGAATAATTATTGCTATTAAACTTCTCATTGTTTGGTCATGCTTTAGTTAAGAGAATAATTATAGTATGTTTTTTCTCAAGGGCTTGCACCCCCATGGAAATTATTGACCCCCTCCCCCCTGTGGGGGGCACACTTCCCAGGTTAAGAATCACTGAATTAAATATATGGTATCTTTGTGTTAGACAAGCAGAAAATATACCATCAATAATACCCTCTATCTCTTCACAGAATCAACAAATTCCCGTGTCCTTTACCTTTCCCTGTTCTCCCTCTGCTGTTTGATTGGACTGGCCACCTGGCAGGTACTCTACCTCCGCAAGTTCTTCAAGGCCAAGAAGCTTATTGAGTAGACATCCCTCTGCCTTTCTAGGGAGATGACACAAAAGTGACCATAAGTGACCCAAGACTGGGCATCATGTTGGTTGCCCTTGAAAATGATATTATGTTTATCAATTGAAATCCACCAATCATAAAGGAAAAAAAATGAATATTCTTTTTCTTTTTATTTATAAATATTTTAGTCACCAGCTGCATTTGAAATAATTTTTAACAATTGGGGTATTAGTTATTGTTTATTTACCTAACATTTGTTTTGTACGGGGGGAAAATCCGTAACTGTAATTATTCATGGAAAGACCATTATGAAGAAATTGAAAATCAGAAGAGTTTTGAAAGAAAAAATTTGTTTTTTTCTCAACATTGGTTTAAAGGTACAAAGAATGATCTCAGCTGCAGCCAGTGAAAGGAATAAAGCATTTTAACAACAGATAGATAATATACCATCCATATCCTAAACTATAGAAGCATATGAAATATAGATATGCTTTATTTAAGTTCCCTTCATCACAAATGCCAACTCTTTGTATTCACATATTGGTTATTAGATCAAATTTATTATTAAGGAGGTGGTTATTTTCTAAGAATTTAGGGGGTTTTCTTGCCTTAATAAAATGAGTCGCTGAGATGAATGTTGTACGCTACAGCACAAGATTTTCACTGTGCCTCAGTTTTATTTAGATTATCTAATTTTATATTAAGAACAAGTCTCACAAATCATTTGTTATTAATCATGAGGATTGGCATGTAGTGTGTAGTATAGCACATCAAGGTCTGTACATGAAAATAAAGGTGAAAATCAGTATATATATATATTTTTTATTATTGCAAAGAGGCACATCATTAAGTTGTTTTAGTTTTGCTCCTGCTGTTTTAACAAAGGCTAGAGGCAGGCTTTTTATTAGATCCTTAGTGGTGCCAGGATACCCTCATTATTTGATAAAAGAATCATGACATGCGCTCCACTGAGCGTTTCATGTGTTGTTTATGCAGTAAGATTTGAGTTTTGTGTTGCCATTTTATTTCTTTCTCACTGTCTTTTCTCTTGATTCTTTAGTCTACTCAAACTGAAAACTGGATGTACATTTTTATGATTTTCTTTTCCTTTGTTGTGTTATTAATCTTGCTACTGCAAGTTAACAGTATCACTGCTGTGCACATTTGTCTAAAATATGAGTGAGAGATAAACTTTAGGGCTATAGGTTCATAGTCAGAATAAAACACCAATTTATGTTGTATGGAAGATCATAGGCAATTCACTTTATCTGAGACATTAAAAGAACAGATATTGAGCTTTTTTATATATATACAAAGTAGGATGGTGTTACAAAAATATTATTCTGGAGCAGTCAGCAGTTTGTGTATTATGGTTTTATATA